GGTGATCCTCAACCTGAGAGAAAAGGCGGCCACCCAGGATTTGGGGCCGGCAGTGCACTTCTCTAGGGAACCTTGAGGGGGCAGACAGATGGGAGGCAAAGCTGGCGTGAGGCTGTGGCAGAGGACCTGGGGCTGACACAGGGCTGGGCTACTGAGGGCCAGCTGGGTCCCTAGAAGCACTTTCCTCTCCTGGCCCTGCCTGGGACCTGGAAGCTTGGTCCACCCTTGGCCACTGGCCCAGTGTCCCTGCAGGGTCTGGGCCCTCAGGGCTGGGTGGGCAGGAAGCAGAGACAGTGGATCTATGGGAAACCACGTTCCCTGGCTCTGAAGGCAGGTGGGGCAGAGGCTCCCGAGGCACCATGGGAAGGAGCTGTCTGTGGCCCTGGGGGTCTGGAAGAAAGGACCTGTCCCGTGGGCTGGGCTGAGTGAGTGCAAGCACAGAGGCAGCCGTGGGGCTGGGAGTGGCCACAGAGGCACCAGGCGTGTGGCACCAGAGAACAGGAGACCTGCAGTCCCCTGCACTCATCACGGGGCCAGCCCATCCGTCTGCTCCCCTGAGGTTCCCATTGCAGATGGAGCAGGTAAGGCATAGAGCAGGCAGGAAACCCGCCTGGATCACCCAGCTAGAAAAGGGGAGCAGGGGCCCGACAGAGTGGTGCTCTCCGATACAGCAGCCACATGTGGCTATTTCAATTCAAATAAACTAAGAGTCAGTGAAAGTAAAACTCCAGATCCTCAGGCCACAGACATGTTTCCAGTGTTTGGCAGCCACTGGGGCTAGTGGTCGCCAGACTGGACAGAGTAGACCCACAATGAGCCACCACCGTAGGTAGGGCCATGGACAGAGCCACAGGGGCATGACCTGCTCTGCCAGGAAGGAGAGGCCAGGGTGGGAGGGGAGGGGGCAGGGGGGCTCCCCCAGCCCTGGTGTCCTCTGCCTGCCTCGAAGCTGGGCTGGAGGGTGGCCCGCACACCTCTCAAAACTGCTCTTGCCTTGACTGGCTCTGCACTGGACACAACAGTGACCACAACTGGCCCGAATGCCACATGGACAGTCAAGGACGGTCTCTGAGGAGCTTCAGACATGGAGCTGCTGGTGTGAGAGCCTGGGACTCCCTGGCACTTGTCTTGTTGGGGACCCTTCTCTGGAAGAGCAGGGGCTGCTGGGCAGAAGGACCAGGGAGGGTCCCAGGATGTTTGACTTTGCTAATGGCTGGGCTGAGAGAGCAGTACCTGCCGTGTGCCTGGGACCCGCCAGGCTGCCAGGGAAGCTTCTGGAGGAGTAGGCCCACCGAGTCTCACCCCGGAGGACCTGGTCAACAGAGAGCTACGAAGCCTCTGCTCAGTGTCACTTCCTCCCTGACAGCCTGAAGGCCAGGGTGCAGCTGGGCCAGGGAGGGGCTGGGGGCTTGAGGGCAGAGTAGAATGGTGGCATGATGGCAGGTCCCACGTCCTGACTATGGCTTGTTGCCATCACAATTAATCACAGTGCATGTGACTTAGCCAGGTACTCCCTGTGTTCAGGTCCCTAAAGGTACTTCAGCCTTGGGTTTGCAAAGCCCACTGGACAGCTGGGAGGACCGTGCTATGTTCAGGACCAGAATCCCCGCCTGCCCCCATCCTGCCCATTTACTGTGGGACCCCAGTCCTGAGAGGGCCCCTACCCACCCGAGGGTTCCTAAATGCAAGGGGTGGACCACAGGACTGGGAGTCAGCGAGCTTGGCTCTAACCATGCTCCCCTAGGACCTTACAAAAACCCCTGCTCCCTAACAATGAGAGAGTCCTAAGTGAGGATGGCTGGAAATACATGGGGCTCTGAGGCCTGCCTCCCAATGCTCCCCTCATGTTTCTCTGATCCCCATCCTTTGAGGCTACCTTAGAGTCTACACAGTCTTGGGACCAGAGGCCTGTGTATAAAGCTGCCATAGGATTGGGGTTCAGTGTGTGACCAGGACTAAGGTTCAGACGTGAACCAGGATCAGGGTGCAGTACTCAATGTGTTAAGCCAGGATCAGGGCTCAGCTTGTGGCCAGTCAGGAGTCACGGCTGAGTCTATGGCTATGGCTCCAGCTCCATTTCTGGCCACAGATAGTGCTTAGAAGGTGCTAAGTGTTGTGCTCCCTCTGGGTTGTGTGCGGAAGCTCCAGGACTTGGTGTCCAGCTGATGAGACCATCAATCCTAAGCACCCAGGGCTTCTCCAGTGGCAACCGGGACGCAGGAAGGAAACTGACTTGGATGTGGGATGGTCCTGATAGGGCCAGGGCTAGAACAGGTGTCGGGAGGGGGACTGCTTTACGTAAATTGCAGACAAATCTCAGGGTTTAGAGTTCTGGGATCCTGGAGTGTCCAGGATGGGGAAAACTGTAAATACCATGCAGTCGAGACATTCACGTACCAAGTTGGAAACTGAGGCACCGCAGGTCACCCTGACTGCTTTAGCGGGGAGGTCCTGCCGCTGGTGCTCAGGGCCAAGCTGAGGCGCCCCCTCCTTGGGGAGGAGTGTGGGTAGACCAGCTGCAGTCTGCTCCACCTCTGGGGAGTGGAACATCTGGACTCTGGATCAGAGACTGGGGTGGGGGGCAATTTTCTAAGGGGGCAAGTCAGGGGGAGCAAGCAAGGAGTCCCCACATGGAAAGGAATGATGTGCCCCCCAGAAGCCCCAGTGTGGGAGGGAGACTGCGCTGCCCTGGATGACCCAGTGTGTGGGGGTCCCAGTCTCAAGCCAGATGCCAAAGCCTGCCCAGGGACAGCTGCTGCCCTCCCCCACCAGCCAGGGAAGGGCCTTTCTGAGATCCTGACTCAGAGCCGCGCTCCTGCTGCCTCTTGGCCTGATGTCAGAGGCCCTCTGGTGGCCACTGGCTGCTACTGCAGCGAGGAGAAGGAGACAAGGGCAGCTCAGCCAGGACCTGGGGAAGGAGCAGCTTCCCAGGACACTGCCTCTTTCTGTCATTGTCAGATACTGGGGAAGAAGGCCCCTTTCCTGGAAGAGGAGGCGAGTGTGGTGTTGCCCAAGGGCTTGTACTGGGACGGGGGCCCTCCCTGCCCTCCCCTGACTGCCACCTGGTTTGGATCTCTGTGGCCCTCTGACCAGTCCCTCAGGACACCCTTGGAGCTCAGGACTCTGGTTGGCCTTGCAGGGGAAACTGGTGTGGACAGAGCTGTGGGGTGAGATGTGCAATCTGCCAGGGTGCCCAGTTGATGTGTGTTGCCCTCCTCCTCTGGAGATGAGTGGAGGACGATGCTGGCTGTGAGGCTGCTGGAGAGGGTTAGTTGGAGGTTACGGGGTGGCCATGGGATGACAGTGTGGGGTGGATGCCGAAACTCAGGTTGAAAGTGGTGATGGTGGTTGTGTGTATTGGTGTCAGATGTTGGATTTGGGCAGCAATGCATAGGTGGCCTGCTAAGAGGGTAAGTGTGGAAAATACTGGACACTGGGTCTGCATCCAGAGTGGACCTTGCATCTGTGAGGCGGGAGCAAGGACCTTGGGGCAGAAGCATTCTGGTGAGAAACACCTTGAAGCAACTTCCCTGAAGCTCTTGCTTCAAGACTCAGGTTTTCATTCTAGAGGGGCCCCCTGAGGGTGGCGGGTCAAAGGTCTCAGAAGCCGGGAGAGGGACCAGGGATGGCTTAAAATGGGAGAAAAAATAGCCAAAGGCACTTAACTCCATCAGCTGAGAGAAACAAAATCTGAACGTGGGACTGGGCTGTCCCCACTGTTACCAAGTCAAACAAAGGGAGGGAGTGCCTGGGGACAGCCACACGGGGCCACTTACTTCCAACTCTACCTCCTTCTGGCTCTGTCCCCAGACCCCTCACAGCTCTGAGCACTCCTTCAGGGGCAGGAGTCCCCCTGAAGGGAGATGGGATCCCCCTAGCCTAAGCAGTCCAAGGGGCCTCCCCCACCTGCTCCTCTCCACAGGTCCTGAGCCTGTGCCTGTGACTTTCCCCTGCCCATCACTCCTCCACCTATTCATACATCATGGGTCCACCAACACTACCCGTCTATGCAGCCCAGCCATTTCCAACCCTGTTCCAACCCCCTCCCTGCCCCATGCATTCTGTCCTCCCTTCTATCCACCCTCCACCCTTCCATCCGTAATTCCACAGGATTCCCCAGTCGCCGGTCCCAACGTCCGTCCGTCCGTCCGTCCATCCATCCATCCTCTTATTCACCCTTTCTCCATCCCTCCACCCACGCACCTATATTGTTTGTGCACAACCCCTAACTTCCTTCTCTCCATTCTTCCGTCTGTCCATCCATCACCCATCATCCATCCGTTCAGACGGCAGCCACTCCTGCTCCTGGAAGAGGCCGAGGGCTGAGACCCAACTCCTGGCATTCCTGCTGCATGGGGCAGGAGCCCGCCTTCCTAGGTGTGCGCGCCTGTGTGCGTTTCACCCCCCACACCCGTTACCCCGCTCCCCTCCCCCACACCCCGCCCCCCGCTCGCGCTCCCCCTCTAATGTGTGATCTGGAAGCTCTATAAAGCCTGATGTAATCCGTAATGCAGTCTCTGGCTCCCGATTCGGGATCCAGTTTCAGAGAGCGAGAGATTGGGGAGCGCCGGCAGCCGGGCGGGGGAGCAGCTCTCGCCTCTCTCCTCCTCCTTCTCCCGGTCCTCGGCCTCCTCCTCCTCCTCCCCGCGCCGCCCCGCCCCCGGCTCGGCTCGGCTCCCCCCCCTCAGGAAGGGGAAAAAAGGCGAGAAGAGCGGGGCAGGCGAGAGGAGCCGAGCGGCGGCGCGGCCGGAGAGGGAGCGGCGGGCGCAGGCGGCGGCGGCGGGCGCGGCGTTGGCGGCGGCCCCGGCCGAGCGAGCGGAGCGGGCGAGCCGGCGGCACAGGCTGCCGCGCCGCGTCCTGGCCCGGGCCCGCGCGCCCCGCATCGCCCGCAGAGCGGGCATCCGGACCCTCTCGGCGCCCCGGGGGCTCTGGCAGGCGGGGGGACGGGGAGGGGCCTGCGTGCGCCCGCGGGTGCGCTCCAGGGGGCGTCTCGGCGAGGCCGGGAGCGGGCCGGGGGCGGCAGCGGTGGTAGGAGCCCCCGCTCGGTCGGGCGCCGGGCTCGGCCGCGGAGGACGCGGGGCGCTCCCAGGGATTTGCAACTCGCCGGATCAAGTCCTCACCGGCGGGGCCGCTGCTGCTGGGGAAGGTAAGGAAGGCTTTGGCGGGGGGCTGGGGGTGCGGCGGGAGGGGGCGCAGCGCTAGTGGGAGGGGATCGAGAGAGGGGGGCGCCCGGACTTCCCAACTTCGCGGTTTGGGGCTTCGTAGATCCCTGGTTTGCGCTCGGATCTCGGGAGTTTGGACCCCCCCCCCCCCCCTCTCCTGCCTCCTCCAGCGGCGGCGACAGAATCTGGCAGGTCCCTGCGCGCCCGCATTGGGCAGGCTGAGGAGGGGGCGACCCTGGACGTGGGAGAGGCTCCTCCGTGCTGCTTAACACCCCCCCCCCATCCACACATACAGCCCGGCCAGACTGGCAGGCTGAGCTGGGGAAAGCACCCCCTCCCCATCACATGCACAGACCCTGGGAAGGCTGGGGAAGGCGTTCCCGTGGTGCCCCTCACACACTGACGCTAGCAGGGGTCTAAGGGAGCCCTATCTGGCCCCCGCAGCCACACAAGGATGGGGGATTCTCGGAAGAGACACCCCAAGGGTGGCCCTCCTTTCCTAATCACTCAGAGCCCCCTGCATACATTACATGGGCCGACACATTCCCCCCCCCCCGCCCCGCACTGAGCCAGAGGAAGGCAGAGAAGCCCCCAATCTCCTCCTCACAGCCCTCACCCACAGACCCGGCATTGGCGGTGGACAGTCCCGGGAGGTTGCCCCCACCCCAGTTCAAATGGAGGGCTATCCTCGTGCCCCCCACCATCACAAACACACACGCAAACGCCCTCGCTCATTCCCTCCTTGTCTTGCTGTCCACTCGGTCGGACGGGCGGCACGGATAAGCCGCTCTGAACTTTGGGTCGGCCTTTCGCCCTCTCCGCGAGAAGCCGCTGGGCTGGGCGCCGAGCACTCCCGGGTCCGCGTCCCCCGCAGGGAGAGGCCGCCCGGCCCTCCGCGGTCGCCTCGCCGGTTTGGAGCTGTGCGCCGCTGCCTCGAGGAACTAGCACGGCCCCCGCCCCCTCCCCGGGAGGCTGGGGGCTCGAGCTCTGGCCTGGAACCCTTTCCCCTGTTCGGCTAGACGAGGCAGAGAACGCCTCCGGCCTCGGGAGGGGGCGGCGGAGCTGAGAGTCGCCGGGAAGCTAGGCGGCCGGGAGGGCTTGTCGGAGGCTGCGGCTCTGAGCACTGGTCTCTCCGCCTGGCCGCGGCGGCTCCTGCTTGGTCACTCCCGGGCGACCCGGAGGGAGCGTCCAGCCTGACACCTCAGACTTGGGTCTGCTAGGCACCTTACCCTTTCCACTTTGATTTTAGGCTTCCAAGTTTCTTGGCGCGCACAGACCCGGGCTGGGGAGCAGCCTTAACCCACTCCTCCTTTAGCACGCCTTCCTTCCCCGAGGTCCCATCACGTCCCGTTCCGCCGGGTCTGGGGCGAAGATTCCTTAGCGGCAACTCCCAAGGAGTTGAAAACATGAAGGCGTGTGGGTGGGCAGGGGGCGCGCACTCCCGCCCCAGAGGATCCTCAAGGCATAAGTGTTGCGGAGGGGGCTGAGAGGTCTGCGTTTCTGCCCTACCCTGGGGACCCAAGAAGACCCTCAGTGCCCTCTCTCATAGATACAAACACACGCCCCCCTCCAAGCGAGAGCCGCGCGGGCGGAGGCGGAGGGAGAACCGGGGGCTGGGGTCCTTTCTCACGTCTAAGAGCCTGTATCAGGTGCTTGGGGTCTGGAAAGCGGATATAACGTCTCTCCTAACCCTCGGACCTTAAATTCCTCTGCGACCCTCGTAGCGGAGGAGGCAGCAAGGCAGGTCGAGGGGGGAGCCGTTTCCTCCCGGACCGCGGGAGGCCACGAAACTCTGCGTCCGGAAGCCAGGGTGCCGCCCGGTCGGGCTTTGAGTACCCCCACAAGGTCAAGCAGGCGAAGGAGGGGGCGGGGGCTTCTGCGCGCGCCCCCGCCCCCGCCCGCGCAGAATCGGGGCCTCGGGAGCGGGTGTGGGCCGCCGGGCTAGTCAGTCCCGCGCGCCCGACACCCGCGCCCGGTCCCCGGAGGCGGACACAGCGCGCGTTCGGGGATCCCGGAGCGCCAGGCGCCCCGCGTCGGGCTCTGTGCCCTCCCTTTGGGCTCGTCAGCTGCTGCTCGGCGCTGCTTTCTGACTTGTTGCGCCAGGATCTGGGGACGGGAAGCCGGCCGGGGAGCCCCGGAGCCCGGGTGGCGGGGAGGCGAACCCCAAGGCCAAGGGATGCGCCAGGGCGGCGCAAGCGGGGAATTTGTCGCCTTCGATCCCGGAAAGGGCGTTAGTCCCCGCCGCGATCCCGCGCGGGGGCGGAAAGGAGGCGATTCGTCGCCTTCAGCATCACGCCGCACTCCTTAGGATCCTGGGCCGGGGAGGGGACGCAGCCAAGTTGCAGAGCCCTCCAGTCCCTTCCCTTGCCTGCAGGCTCCGGCCCCTCTAGGGCCTCGGTGGCCGCGTCCGTGAAATGGGTCGCGGATTACCCCGTTGGTTCCCTTCCATCCCCGATCCCTAACGCTCCTCCGAGATCCTACGTTCTGCGTCCGCAGCGTGCAGGGTCTGCAGCGTCCTGGCCGGCCGGGTCCTGGGGCAGATCCGCACCTGCGGATACAGCCGCGGGGCCCGGCAGGAGAGGGCCCTGGCAGGCTGGGAGAGCGGCAGGGGCCTGGGCAGCTTCCGGCGGCGCTCTAGTGTCCGGGCCCGCACGCCTGGCCTAGCCCCGCCTCCCGGAGCGATCCTGAGGGGGCCAGATCCTGTCCCCGAGGTACGCCGCGGGGCTCCAGGCCGAGGCGTCCGGCGCGGGTCTGCGGTGGTGGAGGGCGGAGGGCCGGGCGCGCTACTGCGGACGGCCGAGAGAGGGCGCGCGCGACGCGCCCGCGCCAGCCTTGCCCGCCCCTTCCGTCTCCTCGGCTGCCGGCCCGCGGCTCCCGCCCCATCTTGGGCAGCCCCCGGCCGACCTCTCTCATGCCTCGCTCCTGCAGCTAGGGCCAGTGACGCACCTCGCGTCGCAGCCTGAGTCCCCACCACTGTTTCTCCCCAAACTCACCTGGCCAGAGTCAGCTTTGTACCGGCGTAAGTGTGCGTGTTTGTGTGCACGTGTACATGTGTGCTACGCATGCACGTGCGTGTCCGTGGGTCTGCAGGCTGTTAGCATATGTGTGCAGGCATGCAGACTTCTACACCGGTGTGCATGTGGTGTTAGTCTTGTGCGAGTGTGCGCCCTACACAGCAGGAGGTAGTGAAACCACATCTCACCCCAGCCCTGGTCAGGTCCCAGTGCAGTGCTTGCACCACGTGGACCCCGACCAGGAACTCTGAAACCGGAGGGTTTTGTTTCCTTCTGGCTACCTGCCAGCCACTGTCTCATTGCCCTCCCAAAGCGTGGCCTCCCTGGCTCCAGCTGCACCAGTGGTCAGTTCTGTGATTTCTGGTAAACATACAGAGCCTGGGGTTCCCTTGGACACAGCCCAGAGGAAGTGGCACACACTGATTGGTTGCCCATGTGTGCACACTTGCATTGGGAATACTGTGGTAGACAGGCCTGACCCCCCCACCGTACTGAGACATGGGAGGAAAGGGGTCCCAGAGCCTGAAGGGCCCGTGGAGTAGAGGACAGCTGCTGCAGGATCACAGGGTGCTGCTCCCCCAGGAGGCTCCCAGGAGGAAGCAGCAGCTAAATGGTGTCCACAGAAGGCGTGTGTCAAGGGGTCCGAGGTTCTGAGCAGAGGGAACAGCCACCAAAGACCCGGCGCCCAGGAGAATGCAGGAGTTGGGAAGGAAGACAGGGAGAACCAGGGGCTCCCCATGCGGTGGGGCCATACTAGGGTCCCTGAAGACCTTGTCCTGTGCTCTGGGAGCTGAGGGAAGCACTCGAAAGGTCTTAGGGTTGGTGACTGGGCCTGATGGACATGTCAAGGGCGTGGCAGGCTCTCCTTTGGGCAGCCAGATCACAGGGGAACAGCAAGGAACCAGGATGCACACCCTCCTGAATGGCTCGCACACCCACTCTGCACGGCACAAGAGCAGCAAGCACACTCATCACAACAGCATTACATACAGCCCTGACCTGACCTTGGACCCCCCCTCACACACACACACACACACACACACACACTAGCGTGCAACATAAACACAAGCACAGTGCACAAGCTCAGTGTCCCACAAGGAAGAGAAACGCGAAATCCTGCACACTGCTGCTCTTCTCCTTGTGAGCTCCCAGGAAGGACATCTGCCACAGGAGCTCTCAGTGAGCTGCACACACCTGCACGTGTTGCCCCATGCTAGTGTGTGCGTGTCCACATCCAGGCAGGAGGGAGTGTGGCACAGACTGTGAGGGCCAAGGGACACACTGGATATTTATGTCCTAGCACAGGCCAGCCCTCACCCAGCCCACTGCTGCAAGCAGGACCGGCCCTGGGACCTGACGGGTGCAGAGGCCAGTCTTCAGGTCTTGGCTCCTCAGCTTTCTTATCCATGCAGTGACAGCTGTCTCCCAGGGTTAAGGTGAGGAATTGCCCTCGGACAAGCACAAAGCTCCACCCCCTCTTGTTATTTCATTTGTGCTAAGTAAGAAAGTAATGGGAAGTGTTCAGCACCAGGAGCCAGGCTCGGTCACCTCTGCTGGCCATTCCTGTTGCCCTTTCAGAATACCTAAGCCCCCCACTAGCAGGATCACACGTGCGCCTAATGGTTTAGACAAATCCAAGCTCCTGGGGACCTGCCTCTAGGTGGGGCGCTGGGGACCTGTGTTGGTCCTGGCCCTGGCCTGCTGCTTGCCTAGGTGGACCCCTGTGCCCACCTCTGCCCTTTCCCTCCGTCCTCTGCACAGCTGTTTGCACAACACAAGTGTGCACACACACACCTCCCCCTCATGCTCACCCTTCCCTGTCTCCACCTTCTTATCCATCAGCAGCAGCCCCACCCCTCACCCCCCATCCTGTTGTATCCTCTCACCGTAGCACACCCCACCACCCCACTTGTTCCCCCACTGACCCACACACTCACTTCCCCACCATCACCTCCAGACCTTCACAGATG